CTCGCTCGCTTTCATTGTGGCGTCCGTTAGAAAACCCGACGCTGGATGGATCTTCGGCGCGCACGCGAGCAGAACTTCGCGATTTCATCGGCGGAGCCCGTAATTTACCGGCCTCGGGTTTTTCAACGGCACCCGGTGTCCCGCGCGCGGTTCCTCCGGGTCACTCGATTCAATTTCCGCGTCGCGGCTGCTTCGAAACCAGCCTTTCCCTTCGCCGGATCGTACCACGCTCCTGGGAATTTTAACCCTTTGCGCTCCAGAAGTTTTTCATTGGAAATACTCAAAATCTTTTAACACTAGGTTCATGGTAGCCTCATTTATTCTTTCCAGAATATTTATTTCTTGATAGACACAATATATATCATACAATACAGATGAAAATTGGCTTCATAAAATTATCTTCATTCGACTATTATAACGTTCGTTAACACTAGGTTTATGGAACGCGTCAATTTGACGCAGATTGAATTTTATAAACATTATTTGGTTAGGTCCTGGTTAGGTTCACTGTGACTCTGAGTTAGCGTCTGATTCGATGTAACGTAATTATCACTAGGTTTATTTACGGAACGCGTCAATTTGACGCAGATTGAATTTTATAAACATTATTTGGTAAATGTTTCATTCAAACAGCAAGAGATCAGCACGTACTTTCTGGTTTTTCTATTATTTAAGCAATTGGTATATAATTTAGCTTCGTGTGCTGAATGTTTTGTATATTTCAAAGAATCTCTCGACTGCAAAGGGTTAATTATATAATCTGTATAGCAAGCAAAGCCGAAATATCGGCTTATGGGTGCCAAGAGGATTAATAATAGAATTCTAGAAACCGAGTATCGAGAATTTTCAAAAGGAATGTATAGCAGCACGTCATTTTTCTCTATTTCATCTGTTTGCGGAGTCGACTAATTTAGTTAATGATCTTCGCATAAAATGAAACATAAGAATTCTCCTTTCGACGTACGCAGGGAAGATAATGCGGCTGTAATGAGTTGATTAATTGGCGATAGTTCTTTTCGTCGATTTTCATAGCGGTCGGAAACAACTCCGCAGCTTTACCGAGTCGATCGTTTTCCCATTGATAACGCGCCGCCGTAATTGCACCGTTGAACTCATACGTCCGTCGGAGGTTGGAGACGGTAATTGGTTTATTTGCACGCGCCACCGGCGGTTCTCGCCTCCCGGTGATTTAAGTGAACCGGTTTTCTCGGAAACCAGCCGTTTCGGGTGTTCCGTTCAGGGATCAGCTGCGATCCTCCTTCCGTTGCGTGCTAAGTTACACGGAGGCTGCGCGGGAGCTGCAATTCCGTGTTATTTGAATTTGTCTCGTGTACTTATGCTGCTTATTATTCGAAACTGGCTGATATTAAACAGAACAAAGACCATCGACCAACATTCTGTTTCCATTACAAAGCCGTGCATTTGATTTAATAAAAATGTAACCTCCTTAATTATAAATCTTCAAATTAAATCGTTCAATTGTTGAACTGTTGAATTTACCATAGAACTCGTCTCAGTGAAACTTCATCTAATTCAATTCTCTGTTCGAGAACAGACATAATAATGTCACATCTGAAATACCTGTAGCTTACTTCATCGGCAATGAACCGAATCTATAATCACAGCCTCCCACGCGCCGATCAGACGAGCGGACGATTTAATCGATCCGTCACAGAACGTTTCAATGAATCGCGTAGCTCAGTTCCACGCGCGAGAATTTATTCTAACGCGGTTTCTATTCCCGGTCGATTTGAATCGAATCGAAAGGGGGATGCTCTTTCACGAATCGAGATGAATGGAATCGTTGCAGCCGGTCCGTCGATACGGCAAGAATGGATCGCGGCGGCATAATTGGGCACGGTTTTCGCGCGGGATCGATACGCTCGCAACACGGTGGAAAGCGAGCCAACGCGGTTGCATCGGTATGCAAACCGGTCGTAATTCATGCTGCCGGTCGGCGCTTATGAGCGCCCCCCGCGGCTTTTATGCGCGCGGCGTTTGAACAATGAAAACGGCCCCACTGAAATATTGTAATGGCGGACCGTGATGCATCGCCGCGGCGCCCTCTGTTCTCACGCGTAGCAGGATCTTCGATTTTCGCGTGACTTACCGGAAGTATCCGCGAGCGCCGCAGAGTTCCTTACGATATCGCGGCGTATCGCCGATCGATCATCAACCCCCTCGCTCGTATATTCGATACGTTCCGTCGGTTCCGTCGGCGGGATGGCTGGAACCTGACCTCTCCAAGATTTTCCTTACCATTCGTCGCTTGAACATCGTGTTCCACGCGACTGACGCTCCGTACTTTCGGCTTGACGTTTAACCAGTTAACGCTGGAACTACCGAGCATTCAACCCTTTGCACTCGAGAACATTTTTATCAAGAAATATTCATTATTTTCTGATGACGTGTCAGTGATAGGTTTGCAACTAACATGAATACCTTGCATAAATTAAGTAATGGAACTATTTTTACATTATATAAAAATTTAATATTGAGTTCTAAATTTTATCATTTCCATGGTTCGAATCAAATGGCGACTGAAAGGCGCTTCTCGAGTGCAAAGGGTTAATACGATTGATATGTAATCTCTATAAAAATTGTAACAACAGATTACTTTCTGTTTCTCAGAGAGACACCTGTTATGGTGTTAATAATTGGAACAGAAGATTTTCGGAATGCATCAATTTCACCTCTTTAGTAATTCTATTGTTAAAAGCGAAATAAGAATCATGAAACCGGTCACTTTGATCCGTCTGATAATTACGATGTTAACAGTTTATTAACCCTTTGCACTCGACAATATTTTTCATTAAAGATATTCATTACATTCTGACTAAATATTAACGACATCTTTCGCAACTAACACAATTGATTATCTTCTATAAATTAAGAGACAGAACTATTTTACTTCGACGTTTTATGTATCCCATTACACAAGGTTTAATATTGAACTGAAAATTTGAAAGTTCGCTGCGTCGGATCACGTGGTGACTGAGAGTCATCTACCGAGTGCAAAGGGTTAATCATTCGCGATTACTCTCAACTAAACTACACATCTCCCGCAATCCCAATTGTATACAGATCAGTCTAAACGAGACGCACGTCACGGCTGTCAGACCCATTTCCCCGATACAAGGGAAACCGGTCGAGAAAAAGATCGCGAGCGGACGAGAAGCGGCGGCCGTGAGCTGGCGCAACGCGCCGCGGAAAGGAGAGGAGAGAACCCGCGATGTTCTACGTCGGTTTCGCAAGCGACGCGCGCGCACCGCGCCGTTTAACCGGCTTAATAACCGCGCTCCTTATACGTGCGCGAGGATAATTGTTTTTGCATAATCGGGATGGCTCTCGATCCCGACCGAGCGGGGGAAAGAAATCGGGGGCCCTACGTACCGCGCGGCGCTCGTCGAACGCGCGAAATCGCGCGTTGCACAATGCCACTCGCCACCGGATTCCCGCCGCGGAAGAAGAAATCGGTCACGCGGCACGTTGCGCTTAACCCTTTGCCAATGAAGATTCTTTGAAATGTACCAAACCTTCGACAGATGAGGCTGAATTATATATCAATTGTATAATTGATAGAACAAAAGGAAACTGCTTGCCGATCTCTTGCTATTCGAGTAAGTAGATCATTTCTTTGTGACTTAGTCTTCGAAATATGAAAATTTCTCGCCGGAATGCCGACATTCCTCCGCAAAGGGTTAAACCGTTTTGTGGACGAAATCTGAAAATTCGATGCGAATGCGTTGCTAAATTGTTCCTACTATACAAAATGATTTTCATTTGAAAAATAAACATTTCGTAGGAAAATCCCGTTTCTCTATTTACACAACATTAGGAATCGAAACGCGCAATATCAATTGTCACTGAAAACACTTCATTATATCCACATAATGTACACAAAATGTAACCACCATATGCTTAGCTCTATTACAACTCTTCGAATCATTTCCTTGTATCACTTACTAATCACGGGATTAGTTCGTACGAAATGTTTATTTTTCAAATGAAAATCATTATGTATAGCTAAGTATACCACTTAGCAACGCATTCGCATCGAATTTTCGGGTTTCGTCCACGGACGGCACTGCGCGGCGCGTCGCGCGAGATGATTAAGCAATTACGTAACGGATGACTCGCTAATATATTGTCCGATATCCTTAATTACCGAGCGGACCGACTCGGAGAAAGTATTTACACGTCTCCCGGGCTGTTATCGCGGGTTTATTTTCGGGTACGGGGTCAGCGGAGCAGCATTCTCGGTTTTCTTGCGTGCTCGCCAATGGGAATTTGAAGGAAAGAGCTCGTTAATGGGCGGTTGTTAACGTTGCGACTCGTTTCGCGCGAACAACGGGGAATGCCTCTGAAATGCTCGGTTGGCCAATTAGAGTCAGAGGACACCGGGACAATTAAAGCTGGATGGACAATGTCTTTATTGAAGTGGGTCAATGTTTACGGTGATTATTAAAATCCAAGGAGTTCGGTGAGAATTATTCAAATCTGTAGTTACCGATGGTTATCAGCCTGCAATTAATCTATCGTTCTCTTCTGGAGGAATCGACAACAAATTATTTGTAACCAAATGTTTACTTAAAGTTTCCACCCGCTGTAAACTAACAATAAATACGTGAATCAGAGGGAACAAGAATTTCTGTCAAAACGCATTGTTTCCTTTAACCCTTTGCACTCGGAAGTTTTTCACTAGAAATATTTGAACATTTTCTGATGAGATAAAATCGATACTTTGTGAAACTAAGTCGACGAGAAATCAAAGCTATTTTATTTCAATATTTCTCAACCTGATGCATCATAGGAAATATATTATTAAATATCAAATTTTATAGTTTTACTGTATGAAATCATCAAAAGGTTAAAATCGCGTGTCTTAGAAAATTTCTTATTTCTTCGTTACTAACTACTCTTCTTCTGCTGATTACTTTACGTGTTACTATAATTTGTTGACGATCCTTTGTAACACTGTTTCCGAAAGAGAAAATCTGTTGTGATACGATTGGGTTTTATTCATAGCTTTGTTGTACATCGTATATTAATGTAAAGTGGTCTGAGATGGGTTCGCAGTAGGAAAGAAATCGTCCAGATTAGGTTCGGGTGCTTTCGTTGGATGACAAGCGCTCTTGGTTGGCAGTCTATTGAGTATATACTTCTCGTATTCCACTGCTGTTGGGCTCACGTCGGCTTCTTGCATTCTGCATTGGCTATTGATGTTGAACTGCAGTCCGCGGCAGCCGGACGGCTCCCAAATCGCGTTCGATGGGTTATTGCGTCTCGGAGTGGGATTTCTGACGGAGTCAACGGAAAGAAAACTTCTTATTCCTATTTGTGACTCATGCATTCGATCTGTATCTTTTACCTTTTGCAAACGTAAAGGAATTCTTGTTCTGGAATTATAGAGAAGGCATTCAGACTCACCCGTATTTCGCGAAGTTCGCCCACATCGCGGACACCATTTTCCTGAATCGGTTGACGGGATCGTTGGGGTCCTCAGGCTCGCGGAAGACTTTCATGTAGAACACGTACTGAACGTCATCGAAGTGAGAAGTTCCTGTAAAACGTATGGAATTCTTCGTTTAAATATCGTTCGATTGTATTATAACCGACAAGGAAATCTTCTCAACCGACACACGCCGATTTCGATGGAACTTCTGTGAAACATGATTCTCAAGCAAGTATTTCACACCTATTTTTCCTCAAAGTTGAGGATTGAAAGAGTTCTGAAACTACGGAGTATATAAAAGAAGTCTAAATTAATTTCGGTTTATTCTACTGTATTCTATTGTTCCTAGAAAACTGTTTATATAGATCTCGAAAATTGTAGCTTCAAGATTAAAGTATTGCAATATGTATTCGCATAATTGCACTATGTTCCACACAAGTTCCACCAAAATCGGCGTACGCCGGTTGAAAAGTTTCTCTCGTGGACCACCGTACCGTTCAAAGCTTGTCCAAGTTGTCTGTGCAACGCGTACGGAGAATCGAAGGTGTGCTCGTAGGAATAAACCGGCTCGTTGTTGTACTTGGTTAGGAACTTGCGAGTTAAATCGGTGGGCGCCGTGTAGTAGTAATCAGTCACGAACTGCAACCATGAATAAACCACTCTTAACCCTTCGCGGACGAAGATTCTTTGAAATCTACAAAACCCTCAACAGATGAAGCTAAATTATATAACAATTACTCGAACAATAGAAAAATAGGAAACTACGTGCTGATCTCTTGCGATTCCATTAATTATATCATTTGTTCGCGACTTAGGCTTCTAGAAATGCCGAGGCTTTAAACTGACTTCGGAGAATTTCTTTACAAACGTGAATTCATTAAGGTTTGAATTGGTTTAAATTCCAGCTTATTATTATTATTATTATTATTAAATCAGTTTCTTTGGTACTTCCTCAAAGAGAAGTTCGTACCTTTTCAGTAATCGCAAAAGAAAACATCAAGAAATTGGTGATTTGATTCATCTAGTAGTTCTGGCGTTAAAAGAGATAAAGGAAATTTTGAATAAGAATAGCCAACGAGACACAAAGGATACTCACCACACCGTAGTCGGTGACTTTGTCCTTCACGAAACGATTGAACACTTCTTCGTCGATGTCTATCAATCGATCGAAATTAGTCCACGTGTCGTTCACGCCGGTGAATCCATCTGTAGCGTGCGAAGATGAGACACGGTGTGATTTATGAACGACATTTCTCGTGAAATTTCGAAATAGAAAGGTGATCTGTGAAACTACTCACCTCTCGTGAAGCCAAGTGCTTCCTCCTTAGTTTTACCTAGCATTATGGGAACCTTGCTGAAGGATCCATACTTGTATATCGATATAGGACACTGAGTGAGGAACGGGTTCTTATCGACGCTGTCCAAAGTTGGCCTGAACGGCAGGGTAAGCTGGAATTTTCAAAAATTGTTTGAGAAATTTAATGACATTCTTGCAAGAATTTTCTATTCTTCGATGGAGATCAAGTGAATGTTTGTCTGCGGAACTTAACCATTTGCGCTCGAGAGGCGCCTTAAAATTATAAAATTTCAGATTCAATATTAAATTTTATATGGTGTATCAACACATGGAACATCGAAATAAAATAGTTTTGTCACTTAATTTATACAAGGTATTTCTTTACGTCAGTTGTAAGAAGTATCATTGACACCTTATCAGAAAATAGTGAATATTTGTTGAGAAAAATATTCTCGAGAGCAAAGGGTTAATGCTTTTAGTTTACTGATAATATAAATTGTCAACTGGTACCATTTGCGTAACTCCGTCCATTTGTTCGGTTCCATTGACGAGATCCTTGGGAGGAACATTCAGCAGGAAATTCAGGATCTCGGAATTAGTGGTTGCATCGCTGCCAAGGAACTTGGTCAGCTGTTTTGCTTTGTTCAACGATTGCTCCGGCGTGTGGTACGCCCATGGGGACAATGGCGTACCGCTCATAGCAATGGCTCGCGCGAACAAACCTAATGAAGCGGGCGAATCAGACAAATGTTAAACTCGTATTCACGTTTAACACTAGAACTACCGAGCATTTAATACGATTAACATGCAATTCCTATGAAAATTGTAACAATAGATTATTTTCAGTTTCTTCAGACATTCTTTATAGTACTGAAATGAAGCTATTTATTTTCAAAATCATTTCTAATATTCAGTACTTCGAAGATATCAATAAATGCTAAACAAAAAGATCAAAACCAGTCAATTTTGACTGGTACGGTAGTTCTAGTGTTAATCGAATCTCTATCACTGAATTGTGTAAATTAGAAATCTCCGATGTATGGATTAATTTTGGTGGCTGCTATCATACCTGCCGAATGTGGTGACAGTACGTGGTAGTGAACCGATGCGCTGCCAGAACTCTCGCCGAAAATCGTCACTCGACGTGGATCTCCACCGAATGCAGCAATATTCTGCTGTATCCATTTCAGAGCTAAAGCTTGGTCCTTCAACCCACCGTTTCCTGGCGCCCCTTCTAGGCCCAGTGCCAGGAATCCTAACAGAGAAACGGTTACAACGGTAAATTATTGGAAAACTGTGATTTTTGGGGAAGGTGTTATTTCATCGGACTTGGCTATCTCATTGAAGATTAAATATAATATATAAATCAACGTTGAAGCTTTGAAGATTTGAAACATAATATATAAACTGACGTTGAAACTTCTTTTGAGCAATCGATGCTCATCTATCTGACAAGGTTTGAAAATGTGATTTTTGGGAAAGGTATTATCTCATCAGACTATCACATTGTAGATTAAAAATAATATATAAATCGACGTTGAAACTTATTTCGAACAATAGATGCTAATCTGACAAGGTTTGAAAATGTGATTTTTGGGAAAGGCATTACCTCATCAGACTTGTCTATCGCATTGAAGATTAAAAATATAATATATAAATCAACGTTGAAGCTTATTTCGAGCAATAGATGCTAATCTATCTGACAAGGTTTATAATTATCAATTTCAATGGTTACCAAGAGCACCAAGACGATAATTGAAGGTGACCACCACGACGTCCTGCTCGATCAACAAATCTGGTCCGTATATAGACGTATTGGTACTTCCACCAGCAAACGAGCCACCGTATATCCACGCCATGACTGCTTTCTTATGTGCATGTTTCCTAGCCGTCGGCTATTGAATAATCAAATCGATATTTTCATATAAGATACAGCAAACGCGTACCCCTACGAATTCCCTCTCATTTACACTTGAATGTATTCCAACCGACAATAAACCGAACAAAGCAAGAATTCGTCGTTGCAGCGCGAGTTCATTGGCTCCCGGGTTACGTAAAAGCCGTCGGAACACTTTTTCTCACGTGCGCGCGTCCGACGCGGATAATGTCTGCCGTTTCTCGGCTAAAATTACCATTGCATCCGCGCGGGCATTAATCATCGCAATACGATATTAATATTAATTAGTATTACGGGTGTAACAGTACTTGCCACAGGAGTGAAAACGTTGATGTACAGACAGTCTTCGTTCCCGATGTATTGTTGCGAGAAGATATCCAACTGGGGACAGGCATTAGGCTCCTTATTAGCCTTCAGCGTTCCCGTCCATGGCTCCGCTGGCATTGGCGGCTGCACTGACAATGGACAATTAATTACAGGGATCAGACGGTGTCAATCCCCCGGCTACTGTGTTCACCGAGGATTTCCAATTCAAATGAACTTAGCGTCAATTCTATTTACTGGCGTTCGACTATTTTCTGTTAAGTGCTGCCAGCCTGTTTTCGGAAGAAAGGTACTTAGACGCGGCGATATTCCTAACGGCTATTATCTGTGTTTATTATCGTACGGTCATTAGCATTATTGGTATTCCATAATTCATTGGAGTATTATTGTAACAGTCCGTAGCTCGGCGTCTCGACTTTAAATACACGGTCTCGTTAAAAACGTCGATTTAATTATACTACGTCGAATGTCCTAGGTTTATTGCTTTCTTCATGGATCAATTGTTACGGGCAGGATTCTTACGAAGAACACATGGTTCTCCGAAAAAATCGGAACTCGCCGCTGGCGAACTCCGTGTCTCCTTTTTCGGAAAGATTATACGAACTCGAACTTTACCCTGAATCTAAGGTTTCCGACCGGCGGTTTCCCATAAGGTATACTCTGGAACGACCAGTACGGGACCGAGTTCCATGCAGTGGTTTTCACTTCGCCCTGCACGGGGCCGCACTGCGTACGGATTACAGGTGTCTCGCTCGAACTGCCGAGACACACCGACATCAGCAGGACAGCTAGCGCCGACAGCAACTTCATTTTCACAGGATCTCGCGGCTGCAACGATTTATTAAGGAAAGACGTTTTAGTTTCACGAATTAGAGAAGAAACGTTTCATTGGAGAAGGTCCTCTCATTCGGTAATAAATGATTGAATCACTCTTAACCCTTAGCACTCCAGATGGTTTTATGATCTATCAGCAACTAATTTTTATGGTATCCCTAGCGTAAATGAAAAATGATATAACATTCCTTAGATCCTTTATTTTCCTTCTTAGTGCAAAATTTGGATGATTTAATAATTGTAGGGTAGTTTCTGTAGATTCATTAAAATATCTAATATTCCTGGTGCAATATTGGAGAACAGAGTTCAAAGGGTTAATTTGGCACTTCAACCAGCAATTTTAACCGTTTTAATGCTAAACTTTTGTGGATATTTACCAAAAATGCGAAAGTGATTGAGTGTGTATGCAAAAGAATTAATAAGAGTACTTATCTACTGAGATCACAAATATTGTGTTATTACAAAGAAAATATCAAAAAATAACATTCATTCGAATAAATTTGATTTATTTCTAGAAGAATATAACAAGAAAATTATAATTGATACCGATAAACAGAATTTTATTAGAAGCAGTATAATTATTTCTTGACAACTCACAATAAACTAACTAAATCAACCAACGCACCCACTATTTATACTCTCATTAACTTTACATATATTTGGAACATTCTAGATTCATAAAAAAACGAACATTATTAACATATATAGAAAATCAATTTAGAATATTCCAATGCTTTGGACATTCATTCAAAACGCGCTCACACACAGTCGCGTCATCTATTGCACATTCATCACTCATCAATATATCTATTTACACACTCAAATACATCGATTCGCACAATATCAGCCATTAAAACCAGCGATCGACAATGTTTCAACACTTTTCTCTCTACCTTTGTGAACTCGATAAAACCGTTTCGCTAGATTCAGCGACAAAGTACAGCAGCCGGTTCCAATGTCACTGGTCCGAATGAAACACTAGACGCGTACGCCTACCAATATATATATCAGTCGCGCGGGACTATCACGACTAATGTCAATCATGCGAAAACCAGCCGCGAGCGAGCCCATTGCAGCCGTGAGTCACGTCCAATTGAGCTGTCCGCGTCGAAGTCGGAAAAACCCTGGTGTGTAGCATACGACGAGCATCTTGATAACCTCGGTGACGAAAGCGTCACTGAGAAACCGTAACCTAAAACATTATCCGTGCATTCTTTTCCTCGTTCATTTGCAATTCATTCCCATTTTTTCCTTTCTCGGAACGATAGAGGTAGTATAGTTATCCCGGACGAGCCCCAAGTTTATAGCGAGGCTACTGTTATCATAGATATCGAAAAGGTGGATCTTCAGTAAAAAGAGAATTAGGAAACAATATGGACGACACGTAAAAATACAACTTAATACCACGAAGGCCAACACACGACACTCTATCACGAAAAATGTTCTTCGCTCTCACCAAAATGTCCTTCTCGCATTCCCACTCGCTTTCAACACACCCCCATTCGCTCTGTCTTTCTCACCCTTGCACCCTTCTCGCTCGCATCTTTCGTCCATAGTCAAAATTCACGCAGTCGCGTACACGCTTTTCTCACGGTCCAGTCGCTCGGTTCCAGACACTCCTCGCATTCTTTCAGCCACTCGAGATTTTCTAAACGCAGTCACGCTATTTTCCAAACATCCCGGCGCCGCTCCGTCGCAATACGACCTGGTCGCCCTTACGCACGCACAACGAACCATTCATCTTACAATAAATATTCTAGATACTACAGTAGTGTCAGGTTTTCTTGGTTTCAAAGGGAGAGTACAAAAGGTCGTATCCGATAAGATAATCGACGAAGATTTTCTCATTCGAGATAAATATTAGCCGCGAGATAAGAGTTGCGCAAACGTCGCTGAAGACGCGTCGTTGGGGAGCGTAAACATGCCGGCGAGATCCTCGGAATTCCCGAAACTGTAACTGTTTTTATTACACCGCCGACAGACGCGAGATTCCGCGAGCTCTCGTTTCGAAACGTCGCGTCTGGCCTGTGTATTATCCCATGAGGAAAACGGTGAACAATCGCATCGGTTGCGGAATATTCCGGTTATGTAACAGTAAACAGAATACAAAGTTAGATAATTTTTCAATAATATCGATAGCGTTCTTCCTGCTGACGTTCTAAGCCGATATCTGCTCGTTCCGATGTTTGTAAATCTTGAATTTTTCACTTGTTCCCGTGTATCCTGTTTTAACCCTTTGCACTCGAGAGGCGCCTTCCAGTCGCCGTTTGATTTGACCCAACGAAATGATAAAATTTGAAATTCAATATTAAATTATTTTATAATCTACCAACACATGCATCGCAAAGTATTTCTTTATATAAATTGTAAAAGATACCATTGATATTTCATCAGAAACTAAGAAATATTTCTTGCGAAAAATATTCTCGAGTGCAAAGGGTTAACCCTGTGTTCTTGGTTTCTCACTTTGAGGTTCACGCCGACGTTAGTTCATTCGATTGCAGCTTAATATGACGCTCTATTTATTTATTCAATAATATTTGGGAATCATTGAAATGTTACCTTGAAATAGTAAAATTGTGATACAAATGAATATAGAAAAAATTGTAAAAATCAGTGGACGTTGCCATAAAATCGAATGTCGAGTCCGACTGGACATAGGACTGCTAAGGGTTAATCCAATAAGAAAAATTAACCGAAAGTGTTACGGCCATTGTCAATCGCGAACCGACGAATTCTCATCGAAGATTGACTTATCGTGTAGTTCATTGATGTTAAGAAATCTACAAATGTTTCGTACAATTCCGGACAATTCTCTGCATCGAGTGCAGTCAGGAAATTTGCATTTGACGTTGGCCCCTCCGAACGTATCTATGCAAAAACGTATTTGCGCAAACGTTTCCGGTGAACCCGGGAATCGAAGGTTTCCGTCCGCGAGATAAAAATCGAGGCTGACAGTTCGAAATGAAGGAAACCACGGAGAATGCATCGAGACGTATGTCGAATGCACCGAAAGTCACCGGCAGAGGTGCACCTTTCCACGGTGCCAGTGACACAGGTTTACGACTGGCGGCCGTAAAACGGCAAATCGATTATCGCCGGCTAACACTCCCATGAATCGGTCGTTAATTCCGATATTCCGATATTATAGCGCATTGCTCGTCCATTATCTCGGTTTTGCCTCGGCCACGACCGATCGTTATCGGTACGGGGCCTAGCGGTTCGTTAAATTAACAATGAATTATCGCGACGATGCGTTCGACGGTTCTAACCTGCACGCAGCGCGGGACCAAGGGCGTAGTTTCAATAATTTAAATCTCGGGTATAGCCATCGGGCAATTAAAAATGCCAGTCTAGCGACGATACGTTACATTGAATTTGATACTCGCGCCATTGTGCTCGTCCGAGCTAACGTAAATCACCGTTTAACGATTTCTTATAAATTCTAACGGACCACTTACCCTAGCATACAATAGATTCATCCATTTATAGGAAATTTCATTATCGCGTTCGTTTGTCGTCGATAGTTCGAAAACTTCGATATAGAGTCGTTCGACTACCGAACTGAAACTTCGAACCTTCGCAGATCATTAACAGCACACCGTTCGGGACAGAATTTAAATTTCAAATATTATTCCTAGAACCTTTATAATTATCTACATTGTAATCAACGTAAACATACGTTAATGTTTTATACATTAATTGCCCCCGTTTCCTTACATCGTTTATTATTCAAACTTGATTCCGCGTTAATTAGCTTCCTCGTTGTACAAGGAAAACGACGAGCGTCGTTGTTCGCGAGCGACGTCCTTGCGAATGGTATTTACAGTTTGTTAGCGGCGTTCCCGCTAGAAACAAAGTTCCCAGCGTTGAATCGGCGATCGTTAGCCGGCGCGTTTCGCCGTCCGGTGTCCTTGGCTCGAATCGATGAATAATGAAACCCCTTTCATCGCGCTGATGATCGGTTGAGAGATCGCCGCCCTGTTTTTGCCCGCGGTCCGGCCCGGATGACACACGTAATAACAAATGGCACGCAACCAGAGTGATGCGTCGCTTCGGGTGCAAGCCTCCGACTGTTCGAAGCGCAGACGATCGGCTCGCGGTGCTCTTTCGGTCCAGCCAGGTGCGTTTCAACAGGACTCCGAGCTGTAATCGACAGCTGCGCCCCATGAAGATGTCTCGTCCGAGGGCGTAAATACAGTAATAAACTCCTTCTTCGGTTAATTAAATGCTTCCGCTCGCCGGAGCCTAGGCGGACGCGCCCTGCGCGGCCGCGTTGCCATTGCCGGCTGGTTAAAAAACGACCGTCGAAGCGGAACGTTCGGCGCTGCCGAGTATTTCACTCGTTAATTCGATCGCGGCTAGGTGGCCGCGTTCAGCGACAACACGCGCAATTAATATAAAACATTTAGACCGCTGTTCCCGGCGGAACGCCGAATCGGACGCTAATAAGGTCGGGCGAGATAGGTGTTGCGTCGAGATGTTTATGGAATCGTAAAATCACACGCTGGTTTTATGGAAGGACAGTTCTCGATTCGATGGAAACGAGACGGTTCTTTATTAGAGAAGATAATTCGCGACTCCTTCGTTCGACGCGATAGATCGAGATAATTAACATACTTTTACGCGCCTCTATTTTACGGCTGTCGTTAATGCAATTCAATTTTAGATAGAGATCTGTCGCTCGAGTGTTTACCGAAAGTAATTCCTTATTCCCGCGTTCGTGCGCAGGAACGAGAGGCACTGGTCCGAAACAGGCGGAAAGCTATGCAGCACGAACAATAAACGTCTTACGACGGCCGTACAGTGTTATACTGCTTACCTAACAAGACCGGCGTACGCAACGCTCATTAATCTTACTCGCATTCATTACAGAAGCGGTAAACCACTCATTATTAGATCTTCATGGCGTTCTTGATGCGTTTATCCCCGGGTGATCCCAGCGGCGATCCTCCGTCGCGAGGGATCCTTCCAAGCAAGTTGAAATCCTCAAGCGACGCGTCCGCCATCTTCCTTTCCCGGAACCCAGCGCATCTTCGGATACGCACGCGCACCCGAGCAGTCGTTACGGAACGCCGCGGCGTCTCCGGGTTCGATTATGCCTCTAACTGTCGACAAATCGGTAATCCGTTTCCTTTCATCGGTCTCGAACACTGCCAGCATTTCGCTTTCCTGCCATCGAAAGTCCATTACACTCTGGAATCCCCGCGCGATCCTAACGGAGCGTTTCCGTTTCGGCCTCCGGAGCAATACGACTGCTCGGCAAATCGAGTACCGGATTTCATTCAGCGTTTCCCAACTGTTTCTTACGTTTCTAGGGACCTTGGTTAGGTGTAAATAACAACAAATGTCGATAAACTGTCGAATACTGCAAAAGTTTCTAGAAAGATAGGATAAAGGTCTAGATCCCGACTATCACAGGATCTCCCAAGCGTCTGAACCTTAACCCTTTACGGACTGTCGACATTTCGGCGAGATGAAGCTTCCATGTTTCGAAGATTAAGTCGTAAACAAATAATTTCAAGTATAAACAAGTAGTTTCTTTTTCCTGTCAGTTAAGTAACTGATATATAATTCAGCTTCATCTGCTGAGTATTTTGCATATTTCAAAGAATCTTCATCCGCAAAATCATCACAGAAGCCTAGATCTCATTCGGACGTTGAGTCTACATCACGCCTAGCACAATGCAATCAGAAAAATCGCCTGAACCGGTGCATTCCGCAGAAAGGAAGTTGAAAGCTTCAAGAAGCCGCGGCGAAAGAGAAAAGCGACGGAGCTGTAGCCGCAGTCGAGAGATCAGGCGCGCGTTATTAACTCCTTAAATGAAGACACGCTAATTTACAACCGCGCCTCGAACCAGTTGACGGCCGCGTTCCACGGCACACGTATTCATCAAGGCTTAGCGGAACGTTTCTTCGTTCGGGAATTGCGCCGCGGATCCCGTTCGCTCCGCGCCTATCGTCCGTTCGCCGCGCGGCGCAACGCAAATATCACGGTGTTATGAAGCTATTATGCGCGTCGTGCTCGAACCTGAAGCGGCGATAAAGCCCGATTTCGCGGATTTCACAGCGAGAACAGC